CTGAGGTTGCTGACATTTGGAGCAAATAAAGTCATGCTCTGTCACACAGGTTCCACCACTGTGTCTCTCCTGTCATCAAGAGAGGTATTTTTATGCAGTTTTTACCATTCTCTTAGGACTTCTGCTTTGATTTTTGAGAGCAGTTTCTTGACTCTGGTAATTAAAATAGATTTTTTTCATGCCTTACATTGTCATTGCTTCCAAGCTTTTATAGTTAATAGCATGTTTCTGTACCATTCACAAGACACCACAACAAAAAATACTGATCACTACAAAATAAGCTTTGAGACGGCCAAACTGTTTCAAAAGGAGGAAATAATAATTGAATTGTGTAAAATTTGTTCATAAATGTTAAAATGTTAAGAGCTCTAACTGTAAAGGATCTCTCTTTTTTCAGTGTAAATTTGTATTTAGTGCTGGTCAAAGTAGGCTTGTATGTGTAAGCAGTATCTGCCCAACAGTCAATAGTCTAAACTGAAAATACAGTAGATTATTTGGAATTTTTTTACTATTTCTGATGTTTGCAGCAGGAAAAGAAATCCTTTTGTTTCATTTAACTATTCTTTTAAAATAGAATAGTAAGTAACAAGTGTTGGGTAGAAACAAAGCAAAGTCACAGTTGGATGTTGCTGTTATAAGATAGGCGATGACAATGGTATCTTTTTAGTGTATCTCTTATCTGTGGTGTCATTAAATCTAATGATGTGCTAAATAATAAAAGCAGCCTTATCACATTGCAAGGCTTTGAATTGTCTCAAAGTTGCCATGCCTGTGGGTTCCCTTTGGCTTTTGGACAGGGTTTGGAGTCGGAAGGAGCTGCAGTTCAGAGTGCATTTATGTGATCAAAGCTCTTTAGACAGATGGCTGCTAGCACTCCAAAATGATTAAAATATGTTCCAAGCAACATCAGTCTGTGGGCTTGGGGACCCAACCTTTCATTAGTCAATAAAGGGTCTTGAGTTCTTGAAAATGAAATCTTTAAAGGCTAATAAGGCTGCTGGTTTGCTCTGAGCTGTTTCTTTGGATTTGCAGTTGTGGATTGGAAATGGGCCAGTATCTGTCCAATAAATATGAGGCTTTAAAAAAATCTGGTTGCAAGAGACCTCCCAGCAGATCTGCCTGTTAAACAGTGTGGCCAAAATTTTCAGTCTCATATATGTAAATTTAGACACCTGAGTCTGCATGTAGGGAGCGGGAAGGGACCCGCAAGTGCCCCTTTGAAAAACTAGTATTTTTCTGGAGCAATAGTTTAACTGTAGGTGCCAAAGCTGGATCATTTTGACCTGTACATTTTTATTTTTAAATCCCTATGTGTTGAATAAGGATCATTCTAGAATACTTTCAGGATGCCATAATCAAGAGCATTAAGCAAGTTTTCAGAGCTTTTAGAAATCAGTAATATTACTTACAGCATTCCCAAGTGCTGTCAGTACTTGCCAAATCTAAATGTGTGATAGTATAGTTGGGTGCTACAGTGTGGCTGTGTTTATTCTCTTGTCTTCACCTGGCTTGTGAAAGATAGCGACTGAGGGCCTGTGCAAGTGTGAGGTGTCTGTAACCTCCTCTGCAGATTTGTGTGAGGGCAGCAGCATTAAATGCCTGTATAAGATACGTGTTTGAGCCTTCTGTTTCTTTTTTTTCCTTTGTTTGACAGAAAAGAACTTGTTCTTACAGTTTGTGAATTTCTGAATTTGAAGTGTTCTTACCCATTAGACTCTTTTACACAAGGCTCAAAACCCAAAGATATGTAAATTCACTCTAAAAATGCCTCAAGATTTAGCCTACTGCTGTAGAATGTATCTAAAACACATCAGAGTTTTGACATGCACCAACAGAAGTAAAACAAGTTGTGGTGATCCCATTAGCTCAATGTGATCCCATTAGCCACATTGTTCAGCCTGTCTTCTTTCACCTTGGGAACAGCTCTTGCATTCCTTTTGTCAGGATTCGATGGGGCCAGCAGCTGAAGTTCTTCCCCACACACACCATATTTACTCCAGGAATGTCAGATCCATTTCTTTTTCTCAGAGTCTCCCTCTGAAGGCTTGCCTTCATCTGAACTGCCAGTGAATTTTATTCATCAAAAACCTGAGCAAGGTGTTACTGGTTTTTGATAGAAGTACATCAGACTCCGGATTCTGATTGTTTTGAAGAGCTGATTTTGGTTTTCATTTCTTGTAAAATATCTGGGGTTTGTGCCCCAAAGCTTTTTGTCCACCATCTAAAAAATCCTGTCACCTACTCTGCTCTTACAAATAATTTCTGAAGTGCATCACATTTTCCCTAGCTCTAGACATAAGTATTTTGTTTCTGTTCTTCAGATTCCTGGGAACTAATTTTTTTCCTCAGACAGAACTAAGAGCTCATTTGGTACAAAGTAGGCAAAACAAGACAAAAGTCTACACTAAAAGCCCAGGATGTAGTGCACATGCCTGTTTCTCTTAGTGTCTCCATTTCTGGAGTTCCTTATGAACAGATATATTTACCTTGGACTTGAGAGTTCTCACAGTGACTTAAGTGTGCTCTGAAGTGGTCCAGTTATTTTATCTCTGTTACTATTCTGCCTCCTAATCACCTAAATGAGTCAGAACTTCAGAGTAAGGAAATGCACAAAGCTTTTATCAAAGTGATATGATTTTAGGGCTCAATAGATCATGAACAACTAGGACTGGTAAAAAAAGCCCAAAACCATAAAGGACAGATTTGCAGTGTCTTGAGAGCAAACAGAATTTCTGTCCTTATGAATTATGTTTCTCTTTGTATCTCCTAATATATCAGACTTTACATTAATCACTTTTCCCTCCACTCCAAGGCATCATATGAAACTTTACTAATCAAGCCAGCATCCTATATAGCCTGGTTTCGGGGTTGTTTTTTTGTTGGGTTTTTTTTGTTTTTTTGTTTGGTTGGTTTTTTGTATCATTTTTCTGAGCTCTACAGAAACTCCATTTCCAACAATGCCATGTTACAAGCAACTACTACCAAGTGGTTCACCCGTATTTGCAGGTCTGAGATTTGCAGAGAACTGAGCAGGACTTCACGAGCAATATGAGTCTGAAGAAGTGGATAATTTTATACATGCTGCTAAAGTGCTTGGGGGATTCCTGCTTTGAATGTTCTGATTTGTCATTGTTTTCATCTGGAGTTGCAAGTCTCTGTAAGTTGCAAAGACCAAGTACTAAAGGTCTCCATTTGAGGAGTGGAAATGAAGGGCCTCCTTTGGAATGTTTTTTCTTTGCCTCTCTATTCCCCTAGCTGTAAGATGTAAATAGTGCTACTCATGCTTTTTTTTTTTTTTTTTTTTTTTTTTTGGGAAAGTGCATTGATTTAAGTTTTCTTTATTAGATTCTGCTAAATATTAAGTGAGATAAACCTATATTTATCGCAGTGGCTATTGTATTGCAGCAGTCCTGAAATGCAAGTACAGAACTGCCTTTTCCAGATGAGTCATACACTGTGAGTGCCCCATTAATACATTTAATGTTTAATGACCAACTATTTCTCCTGCTTCCTCCAAATTACTGTAAAGTTACTATTCCAAGGAGAGAAAGTAGCTTTTTATTCTGGAGAAGACTGTGGCATTCATCGCTTTCAGTGAGAATGTAATCTTAAACAGTTCATGGGATTTCCTCTGCTAAAAGGCAGCATGGATTTGGAAATCTTTGAAACAGGAATAAGGCTGCAAGAGAGAAAAAAAATAGGTATCTGCTGTTGCATTAGCTCAGTTTGGAGCATGTATGTCTGTGTGTGATCAAATTAATGTGTATATATATAACTTTGTTGTAGAAATGTTGCAAAGTTCCTTTTTCCTGTTTGTAACAGTGCAGCTCTTTATGACTGGGGGGGGAAGAAAACCTGGTTTTCTGAAGGAGGTGTTGAGCCTGCCAAAGTTGATGGAGGTGAATTTGGACAGCCAATTAGTGTGGGACAGCTAGATAGGAACAGAGAAGAATGTAAATTGAGTAGATTGCTGCAGATTTATGCTTGCCAGAACAAAACAGGCAAATTTTAAAGACCCCAAGTTTGCAGACTTAAATAAAGGCATGCCTTAAAAAAATCCAATGTGTTGGTATAATGATACTTCTTTTGAACATTATGCTAGAGAAACAGTACAAGAATGTCAAACATTTAAAAATTATTTTTACTCAGCTAATTCTCCCATAATGGACATTAATACTGTTGACATTACTCATGGGTTGAATGCAGGCAATTTAGACAATAGATAGTATCAGGTGCTAATAGATCAAATGTAATTATTCTTTGTGAAATAATTTTACACAGTTTAGCAAAATTGTTTCAATTATTCACTGTAAGGGAAAAGGCTGAGTAAAAGTGAAAATACTAAGCTTTCTCCTCTAGGGGCATTATATGCATTTCTAAGTCACTTTTTTTTTCTTCATAGCAACCTTTCCTCTATAGCAGCTTCCAGTGCAAGTTATTACAATTCTTTTTGCATAAGATAGGTCATGTGAAGTTCAGCTGTAGGTGGGGCCACTCTGGTTGATAGGGGGACAGTCTTAATAGATCCATTTCATTAATTAAGTCATGCATTTTTTTATTAACAAAACCTGTATGTCAGGTTTAGCCAGCTGGGAGCCATTCTTATGGTTGTTATCTTTGTCAGAAGGAATATTGTGAAAATAAGGAATTACTGTACACGCTTTAACTCCTGATTAAACAGAGGAATGACATCCGCTCACCTGCTGTCCATGAAAAAATAACTTAGGGGCATATCATGGTGTTGATTCATTGATTCTGATCTTACATATCTCATTAAGGTAAAAATTATATACATTGTATTGAAAATATACCATGAAGGACTTATGTCATACCCAATCTGTGGTCATTGAAACAACCAAGGTTGAGGCCAAAATTTCAAACATCTAGATTATTTATTGTTTCTTTTTATTCCTGAAGGAACTTTTTCTTCTTGCCCTTATTTTTGGCTGTAAAAAGTAATATTTTCTTACGTTTTTTCTCTTCTGGTCTTCCATTCCCAGAGATCAGGAGGAAGCAGCAAGGTTTCGAGGAAGTATTTGGTTGTACTAGGCAGCCAGAAGAGCACCTACTTATGGCCACAGCCATTAGCTTCTTGGCACAAATAAATTCAAAGCAGTCTTCACTAGGCTTTCTTCTGGTTCTCAGTGGGAAATGCACTAATGGCTTCCACTATCATTAACGAAGATTGAACTGGGAGGAACTTTCACCAAAGGGGAAGAACTTCTGTGAATTTGTCCCTCACCAAAAAGACTGCGAAGAAGGATGGATAACAATGTTCATGTTACCCGATGTATCTTTCTTTTGCTTCTGAGCTAGGCAAGATCTTAATGTTACCCAGGCTCATATAAGATTATGTTCTGTTTCAATCATATTCTGTAAAAGGGATGTCCATCCCAAGGGTTTTGGTGGAGATAGAGAAATACTTATTCTTCAATTTGCTCTTCTTCCCTACTGTCTTTACCAAAGAAATCATTTTACTATGCTCTTACAGTTGTGACAGTAGAATGAGGAATGTCGTGATGTAGGAATTTAGTGTTTCCTCTTGAGCAATGTTACTGCTCATATCAGAGGAGGGTATAATACCTTTTGGATGTGTATAAGCATAGTAGGCTGTATTCATACCAATAATTATCTTGTCCTGTTCAAAAAATAAATAAGGAATTGAAGAGTGTTGAATTCCGTGTTGGCTAGATTTCACAAGAGCTTTCATATTCATTCAGTTTCCTTGTCAGGTCCTGAGAAAATAATTAATTCTTTGGTTCAGTGCAACCAATATATTTCCTGCTATAGTGTTTCATTTTACCTGCTGGTCATGGAGAAATGAAAGAAAAAACTGCATTTTTTTTTGTGAAATCCTGTGTCATAAAGTGAAAAATGTTTTTTTCCTCTTCAACCTAAAGCTAAATTAAAGCGCACGACTATATTAATTTTTTACAGATTTTATTTCAATAGCTCAATGGTCACAACTCACAAGGGAGGTAAAGGAAGAGAGAGGTGAGGGGAGCAGATTTAAAATTTTTAGGATACAGAAATAAATTCAGCACTGTTTATAGCCTTTTTCCAACCCCTACGCTTGAGAGCTTCTCTTCACTGATTTTTCCCCAACCACTAGTCTACTCGCTTTTCAAGAGGTATGAAAGTTGTGTGTTTTGGCTTCCAGTCATGTGCCATATCCAGCTGATGGCCCCTTTCACTGGGAGGAAAGAAGGAACATCTCAGAACACAAGGATGTTTGTGCTCAGGGCAGATCAACAAAGCACAGGAGGCTGCTGTCACTGCCTATGCCCCGTGGTGACAGTGGTGGCTGAACCAGCAATGGGGAGGCAAAAACTGGTGAAAAACTGTTTTTTCCGTTTAGGTCCCAAACCTGGATCTGTCTGCTGAGGTTAGCCAGGTTGATGAGCATTGTTAATGTGTGCATACTGGTAATTAGCTCTTCAGTGTCTTTCCGTGAATAATAATGGGTGCTGAGACCTGAACAAAATCTGGGCCTCTGGTTTCCAAGATGCAGCACATGAAGGTAATAAGAAGAAATCCAGGACCCCGAAAGCTTGGATTTTAAAGAAAATGAGCTAGGGAAAGACACTTTACTCCCAGTTTCAGCATGGCAGGCTGAGTTTTGCATGTTGTGACTTGCTCGGTACCACAGAGAAGACGTGAAATAGAAGAGGGAATTCAAGACAGAGCTCTTACCCCAATCCACTAAATCATTCCCTTAGCATGTGTCCTTGTTTCACGTTAGGGGAGAATGGCCCAGACAAGTCTGCCCAGTTGCTTCAGAAAGCTTTGATACAATAGGGAAGCAGACTTCCCCTATATTAAATTTCCCAGGCGCTCCCTTTATCATTTAAGCCATCGTTTTAACTGCCTTGTTTCATAGCGCTTAACTGTCCAAGGAGCTGTATGATTTATATGAGCAAGGGTTTGGCAGCAGCAGCTAGGTAAGACATGACTTCCTGAGTAGCGATATGTTGCCATTGTGCCATTTACATGGTGTTCAGGAGGTGAGTTGCTGAGTGTGTATCTGCACAGAAATCCCCAAACCGGCTGCGTTTGTGTATGGCAGAAGCCACAATGGCATTAAAGTCGACATTTCATATGTCTTTATCCATGTGGAGGACAGATTTCAGACTGCAGCACAGGCAGTCCTCCTAGTGAGTCACCAGCCATTGCAGAGTGGTACGTGTTTCTGTGTACAGTACCAAGAAAGTGGGGAAAATGTGCTGGGCACACTCACCAAGAGTTCATCAGTACCTCACTTACTGGTACTCTGGTGACCAAAACTGGGCATGGGCTGGAGCACAGTACACCATGTTTGCCTTTCATCAGAGTTGCGTAATATTTTTCAGTAACACCTTTGAGTAAGATCAGACAAAACTGTTCAAATAGTCTGTTTTATTTTCTTGGGACAGGGAAGGAAGCATCCTGAAATTTTAAAAGTTACATTTTCTTTTTTTTTTTTTAAATCATTCAAAGATTTTTTTAACCTATTGAACCATTCAGCAAGAAGGTAGGGGCAAGGAGCAGAGCCCCATGTGATTCCCCTTCTCAGCTTAGTCACACTGAGGGCTAGCTTTAGGGCTACTTTTTCTAGCTTTAGGGCTATTCATCTCATCCATGAGATCATCCCTCTCTGAAATACCATATGTATTCAGTTATTCCATCTTTGAAACATGTTTCCATTCTTTGTATTTCTTCTAATTGCCTTCTCCTGGAGAGGCTCTTCCTCAGCTGGATGTTCCTGGCCATGCTGGAAAGCAGGGCTGGCTTCCAGCTTGGGGTCCAAGACAGCTTTGTCTCTTGCTTTTCTGATTCAGTGGAGGAGTTAAGCCAACTGATCACAATAGCAAATCAGGACAGCCATAAAATTCACGATCATGTCTGATTTATAAAGATAACATTGTATTAAGTACAAGATATTTTCTGAGGTTTTTAGTAATCAGCTTTCTTCAGCTCATCATTACTAAATGGTGCCATGTGCTTCACTGCTTGATTAATTTATATGCCTTTATGATTTTAATTAATACTGTTTTCTCCAGAAGCAATACTAGTGATTAAAAAACTTCAGGCTGTTCACTTTATCTATGCCAGTGTTTAGGAATTATTCCTGTGATCTTTATTTTTGAAGACTATTGAATGGCATCAAGAGCACAAAGGAGGCCATGTAAACACTGGGGAAAAAGTAATGCTTATACTTCTGGGAAAACATTTATGGTGATTCACATTTTGGAAACTGAAACACTATCAATTTTTTATTGCCAGATTGTCTTCCAAGAAAAAGCTTGGATCCATTGCTGAATCATTTTCTTCAAAATACATAGGCTCATATTGAAGCTGGATCACGCAGAAGAGGCTGGAAGACTGTGCTGTGGGAGAGAGTCAGAGGATTCCTCCATCCTCTGGCATTAGCACAGAGGCACAGAATAAGCCCATCTAAGTATCTAAGGTGGTGTTTGGATCCTACCTGGCTGTAGCAGAGGGATACCTGCATGATGGTAAAGGATCAGGACAAAAGTTTCTTTGTTAAGGACCTAGACAAGCAGCTTTGTACAAGAAAAATAGAAATGGAAACATGCTTAATAAAACTCATCGCATGAATATACCACTTGAAGCTGGGAATATTCAATGTATGGATACAAAAAGTCTCTGGGCCCTGGTATAACTATTTTAGAGTTGGGTTTTTTTTTCCCTGGTGAAAAGAAGCTAAAATTCCTACATTGTCTTGATGTGAATGAGAGCTAAGAATTTTTCAGAAACTGAAGCCTTGTAAGAAAATCTCAAATGTGCACTTGTATAACAGGTTTTGAGCGAGTTTGGCACAGTATTTACTACTACAGTATAAAGGGCTAGGTTCCTTGATGTATATTTCTAGTTGGCATTTTATCAAGGAAATAAACTTTGTTTTTTCTTTATTTTGTGACATGTGGATTGAAACTACATTTTCTCTGTCCAAAGCCTTGATTTAAAAGCATTAGATCATTAAATTCAGTGCTTTTGCATAAGACTAAAATTGTAACTGAACAAATTATTTATGCAGAGAGAAGCAAGATAAAGTTTCTTTCAAGAGTTCTTTAACATATCAGATTGATAAGAGTCAAAACACCTTTACTGCCATTAAATATTTACCAAGACTTGGCTTTTGGAAGAGGGGCAGTTCAGTGCAGTGTGTTTGGCTCCATGCAATGCTATTGATTAGCTATCAGAAGGACATAGTTAATGGGTAACTGGAGGTATTACAGAGCTCTCCACATTCTTGTCAAGTCTTTTCTCTGAAGATGACCTAAAATAAAGTCAGTTACAACTGGCGTTCACCTGAGACAGATTGCACAAGTTCGCCTACGGTATGAACAAAAGGTTCACAAGGATCAGTTGACCAGGTCTTAGGCAATCCTTTCTAGTAGTTGTCATCACTGCTGGACTTTAGAACTGCACGTGTTTACATTTAATTAGAAAGAACACACAGTTTACATCGCACAGTAGCTATCGGCATCGAATCAGAATTGATTTCCGCTCGCTTTCTCAAATGGCTATTTCTTTCCGACTAATTAAAAAAAGGCACATAACAAAATGACTCATATAAATTTTAAAGCAAAGTAAACACTATTCCCTGGAGACAAAAATAAAAGTCAACAGCACATAGTCATTACATTGAGCTTGTTTTCAGGTGATGCTGATGCCTGCATTATGATATGTATCAGTACCATCAGATTTCTTTTATACAGATGTATGTATGGCATGCCCCTTTGCACTGAGTGGACCCTTCACTGACTGTTCCAGTTTTCAGGGTCAGGATTCTTATTTATTTCATCTGGATTGTTGCAATTTATCTAATACAAGTTGATTCACTAATATTCCTACCTTTTGCCAAAGGATTTTATTAATTTGAAATAAAACTGTCTGTGTGTGGGTCACTCATGTAAAATGGAAGTTAGATGCCATTATCTTTACCAGTGAGAATCTGCAAAGGAAACTAAAGGCCCAAACCATATTATCCTTAACTTCATGCATCATTTCTAAGAAATCTCTATTATATTTTATTAGTTCTGCAGGCAAATCTAAATTCAAGCTATCGTGACAGGCAACATCAAATAAGGCTTCTGCAGAGATGTCTGGCTCTTGAGGACACCCAGTCTTTGTCATCAGGGCAGATTTCTGTAGTTGGCATTTCAGAGAGTAAATGTTCATGCCAGCAGTACTGTCAAGCCTGTGGAAGCTGAGGGGTTGCTGAAGGTCTAGACTGGGTTGGTGAGTGTGTGGGGACTGTAGGAGCTGATCCTGAAATGCCCGGTCAGAAGTCCTGATGTTCCTTTATGCCACAATTCCCTGGTTTCCTTGTGAGTGACAGTGTTCAGGATGAAGCTCTTGGCAAGGATCATCACAAAAAGACAGAAAATAGTACATAGTGTTTTAAATTACAAAGTAGTACATTGTTTTCTACCAGTTGTTTTTTTTTTTTGTATGCCAGTGGTTGTTATTTTAGCACATTACCAAGAGTTACTGCTTTCTTAATTCAGTTTAGATTTGAGGAAAACAGTGCATTGTTCTTCAAACAGTTGTCAGAAATGTTGTTAAAAACGTACTCCCAGTATAAAAAATAAATCACTATGACCTTTAGGACAAGATCCTCTGTGTCTCTTCCACCAAGCTTGTGTTTCTGCAAATCCCTGACATCGGCAGTTTCCCTGCTGGCCCCAGGCCAGGGCTGCTGGCTCCACACCACCCAC